CAATCAAAATCGTAAAAAACAACCTTATATTTAGCGTAGGTATAATGAAACACTCAATCGATTTCGAGGGCAGCTAAAGGTCCCTCCTCATCAGGAGAAAGAAATACATAGAAAGAAGAAAATAGGAATCACAGAAACACGTGGTGCTTATCAGCACTGCACGTGGTTATAACTAGATTTTTAATCAGAGTTGCACTGGCCGCCTACTTTTACTGAGCCAGGCTGTCTGATCAAGCATAAAGAAATATTAGCGAGTTAATCACAGTTTCTCAAATGCAAACATCAAACATTCCAAATTTAACTGAAATGTAGCCTTAAAGCTTCCGCAGTTTAAAATTTTCATAAATTCAACGGCATCTTCGCACATTAAAGACAGCAACGTTTATCTAAAGAAGAATTTATTACTCCAAAAAACTAATTCCACTGAAAATTTTTCCTCATTTGAACATAATCCTGGTCTAGAACCGATACCGTTTGTCAACGGCATAAAAAATGTGCTCATTTCTAAATTCCAAAAACTCACACACCAGTCGGATAGTCCCAATTATATTATCTAGCTGATCTTCCCACTGTAAACGTTAACTCCATCGTTAATATCTCCAATAGGAATCTTTCGGAGGATCAGTTAAAGTATTAAAATATAATTTCAACTTTTCAAAGGCATCTAAACCTTCAGTTCCTCAAATTATAGCCTCCATTGAGAAAGCCTTTAAATTCTCCAAAATTTTTGAAACCCAGAAGGATACAATCCGCCACTTAACGTTAATCCGCCACTCATAACGTTAATTTTAACAACAAATCTTTGGGTTCGAATCTTAGCAAAAAGGAAAAGGGGACCTTATGTGAAATTCATTCTGATACTAATATTATTATCTCTAAAGCTGATAAGGGCGGACAGATCGTTGTTATGGACAAACAAACACACATATATTACTGGAGTCTCTAAATTGATAAATGAAGGCCCATACTGCTCGATCCCGAAAGATCCTTCAACTTCGGACCTCATGAAAGTAAAAGTGCTATTAAAAATCTTCCCACATTCTGCCTGCCAACTCAGTTGAAGAAATCACTTATTCCGCCTATTACTAATTGCGCTAGACTTTATGCTCTTCCAAAAGTCCACAAAACCGGTATTTCCTTTTCGACCAATGTTTCCAACATAGGTACTGCTTCATATCCTTTGGCCAAATATTTAGTTTCCAGATTTTCTCCTCTACTTGATAACAATATTCACACTGTAAAAAATTCTGTTGAAGTCATTGATAAACTTAAAAATATTTCCCCACTTCGTTCCATTATGGTTTCATTTGATGTCAAATCATTGTTTACTAATGTTCCGGTCGAAGGAGCACTAAATTGTTTGAAACTAGGCTTAGGGCGGAATTTCACTTCACACATACTGAAATTAATGAGTTGGTTTCGCTTACTAAAGTTTCTCTAAGTCAAACCCACTTGTTTTCCAAAATGCATATTTTCGTCAAGTTGAAGGATTGGCTATGGGTAATCCTCTCAGTCCGGTACTTGCTGACATTTATATGCACTATTTTGAGATGAAATTATTTGATAAATTATCTTTTCGTCTTTGGATTCGGTATGTTGACGACACTTTCGCACTTTTGACGGTTATAAAGAGGATTTATCCGAGATTCTATCTATTATGAATTCAATTGATCCAGCCATCCAATTCACTCTTGAAATTGAATCCAACAATTCCCTCCCCTTCCTCGATATTCTTATAATCCGCAATGAAACCGATTTTAGCACCACTGTGTACCGTAAACCCTTTGCAGTTTGTTTACCACCCCATGCCAAGTCATGCCACCCTGTTAAGCAAAAAATGGCTTCTTTTTACTATTATGTTTTCCGCGCGCTAAAAGTTTGTTCCTCTGAACCTTTGCTTACCAATGAACTTAATTATTTGAGAGCAGTTGCGATTGACCGTGGATTTTCTCCCGTGATTATTGATAAAGCCGTCAAAAAATTTTCAGATTCCCATCAAAGAAGACATTCCACTGTTAGAAATCATATCAATGACCTTGTCGTGCTTCCATTTTATCCTTCTGTTAGCTATAAAATTGCACGGATTCTCCAGAAATTCAATTTTCAAGTCGGTTCTTCCCCTATAATAAAATTCACCCTTCGATTCTAAAAGATTGCGTTTCTGTCTTGAATCTTGGGGAATTTATAGTATATCATGTCAGTGTGGTTTAAGATATATTGGCCAAACAAAAAGAGCGTTGAAGTTTCGTATCAAGGAACATGAATCTTATGTCAAAAAAGGGGAAATTAACAAGTCTTCAATAGCGTATCATAGCCGGACTTTTAACCATAATTTTGATTTTGGGTCTGCAAAAATCATCCAAAAGGCTTCATCCATAGGCGAATTGGATTTTCTTGAGGCTTTTCACATTCACAAAGATTTAGAAAGTTTAGTTAATGATTTGAAGTCCAATCCAGTCCTTCCTAATGCCTTTAAAATTCTACTGTCTTAATTCAATTATTTTTGCCGATAGATGACGTTACCTCCTCGCACTTGGTACTACCAGAGGGTATAAATCCGTTCAGTGGTTGCTTTCCATTATTTGAAGTTCAGATTTTGAGCGTAATGTGCATTTGCCCCTCGCTCCCTATTTTAATTTCGCTAATATTTCTTTATGCTTGATCAGACAGCCTGGCTCAGTAAAAGTAGGTGGCCAGTGCAACTCTGATTAAAAATCTAGTTATATTCCACGTGCAGTGCTGATAAGCACCACGTGTTTCTGTGATTCCTATTTCCTTCTTTCTATGTATTTCTTTCTCCTGATGAGGAGGGACCTTTAGCTGCCCTCGAAATCGATTGAGTGTTTCATTATACCTACGCTAAATATAAGGTTGTTTTTTACGATTTTGATTGTCACATTAGCGTGTTTCTCTTCTAGTCTAATAGTTCAACAGTTATAAAGTTACTAAAATGTATGTCCTTAAAAACTTATCGAAATGATCATTTTGTGCGAAAGTATGTCTTAGTTCGCTATAAGAGATTAATCTGATATAGGCAGGGATATGCAGCGGAATATATATTCCAGTATATTTCTGCTCTCATAACTATTATGTAATACACACTTGCAAAATTTTAACCTCCTTAGTCATGGACTTCGAGATTATCTTCAGCAAGACCCCGGAACTGATACCTATTATTAATGTAATAACAATAATTATTATACTGTTTATTTCTTACCAAAGTCAATTTCTTATTAATATAATAACAATAATTATTATAATATTTATTTCTTACCAAAGTCATGCGAATTGAGAGTAGCCAGATTTTTTTAAATTTAATTTCGAAATACTTTGTTTGTTTTTAAAAGTTTACTGTTTAATATTATATATATATTTAACATTATATTTATGTAAATATTTGCAGAAGGTTAAGCTGTTGTTGGTGAGAGAACGTTTGATTTCAGATGACGTGAAGTTCTGAATGTTTTTATTTAATTTTATTTAGTTATTTTTTTTTGTTTGTTTCTTGCATGTGGCAATGGAAATATGTAGAATATTTAAAGGTTTTGAACGAAAGTTGTTTAGTATGTTGAATTCCACGACGTTGTTTTATCATTTAATCAATTTCATTTACTATTTATTATGTTTGCACATAATAATCGCTGTTCACCACTGTAAACAAAAATTTGCTATTCTGTTTACATTTAAAACTCACTTCCCATTTCTCTGATCTGATAAGTGTGTATATTTATGTACTCAATAATTATTTACAAGAATTGTTCATTCTACTATTCTATGATGAATTACATAGATAGGATTATATTTTTACTTGCAAAGCTGTTGGACTTTGTTTTACTCATCTAGTATTGCATCATCTCATTTTACCATTATGTTTACATAAAATAACGGCGTTTCACTACTGCAAAACTTAAAAGTTACTATTCTGTTTGTGTTTAAAAATCACATCTCAGTACTTTCATTGCCGCCCAAAAAATTCGCCAAATTTTGAAGGCCAAAGTAATTTGGCGCCTTATCCCGCTTATGGAATATTAGCCATAAAACACTATCAGAGATGTATTATAAAATACTTACAATTTAGTTTATAAAAATTGTATCTCTGATTCAGATTTAAATTTGTGATCGTATTTTAGCATGTAGTAAGCAGCATGTATCTACTGGAACAGGGAGATGACTTAACCTTTAATGGCATACTCTGAATTTTGGTGCATATTTTCTTTTAATATTTCGTTGCAAAGTCTTCTTTTAAATTTGTATTTATTGTATCGGTTAAATACAATAATCTATTCTGATCATTTTAGCTATTATTAGAAGTATATGTCACACAGGTAACTTTTTAAAAGATATTTATCAGAGCTATTTATATGCTTAGTTTTTAATAGCTGACGCATGTTTTAATAGCTGACGATGATGTCATATCCTTATTATGTAATTATATGATATTTAAAATCATTCATACATCATTTTAACATGATACGTAGTAAAAGGTTAAAGATAAAGCTTGGGCGATTTGAACCTGATTACAAGATATGAATAACGTTTGCATGTCTAAATATGCAACCTGACCTAGTTCTTTAGTTTAAAAATTTTATTGAAATACTTGACTAAATTACATTTTATTCTGATTAAACCTATATTTAGATTTCTGTGGCACAAATCCTTAGCTGATACTGAATTCTTCTCTGTTTCAAGATTCATGCTCTGTCTACGGATTATATTGTTACGAAATGTACAGCCGCGGTAAGATGGCTTCCCCGCAAAGCAGTTTTAGGGTTGCCGTAAAATGGCAAGGAAAGGCAGTGTTGCCACATTTGGCGAAAAATCGCCCATTTGGTGACAAATTTGGCGTTATACCATGGACGGATGGAGTCTAAAACTGCTTTGCGGGGAAGCCATCTTACCTCACCTGTACATTTCGTAACACTGCAAATGAACTGCGTTCTATTTATTTCTTTAATTAATCGAAATTTATTTCAAAAGTAACTGTGTTTTTTTCTTTGCAGGAAAACGATATTATTCTTTAAAATGTTGAATTTCCAGAATCATCCGAAGTTAGCGCATGTTTTTAAAGACAATTGACAAAGCGAACAATCAAACGGCTGTCATCATGACATCTTCTTTGCCCACGTTAGAAGACCTACAGAAGAAGGCTCGCTTGTCCAGAGCCATCTACCCCAACCAGTACCTCACGCTTGATATGAGGTTACACCAGACACCATGCGGGCCACCGTTTCTGAACAACGCTCAATCCGGAGTTCTGGTGACATCGACAGTTACGCAAGAACAGGATGTGCAATGGACATCTGGCCTGCTCAGAGAGTGCACTATGGTATTTCGCTGCAGCAGGTGAGTGCATGGTTTAGGGCAGCTAACTGTTATAGCTGAAATATCACTACTGACATAAGCATAATAATTGTGAAGACTTAAGTTAACATTATAAGAACCAATCAATGCTGGCAAATGCTTTAGAAATTAAATTCTTAATTTCAGTCAATCACAGAAAGATGAGCATGTATTTGAATGCCTGCTCTTAAGTCTCAATCGAGCATCTTATGCTTTCTTAAATATTGATCCTAATCCCATCTTTCCTATTATAAAAGTTCTCAAACCAGAGTTACAATTTTTCAGAGCTCCAACAACGGGGAAAAAGGTTCCTTAAATATGAAGTGTAACATTTTATACGGTTCCCATAGAGTAAACATTAGTATTTGAAAGTGAGTGTTTAGAACTAATACAGAAAATTAAACTTCAGTCCTCTTTTCTAAATATCTTATGTGTCCCTATCACAACGGTGCTGGTTACCTGGATAAAGTCTGTTCAGCTCACGCCAAAGCCACTTTCGCAGCAATTCCTCAAAGCGTCAAATCTGTGGAAACATTAAATTCAGAAACCGGTGCTGTGATTCCAACACCTTTATTCTGGAACAGGAAAATAGCTACCATCTGGGTCCCTTTATGTTGACGCAGCGGGTCAAAATAATGTCTTGGCTTTTTATCGGTATGAATCCAAAAATTACAATAATTAAGTGAAGAGCTAGAAGAGCTTATTATGCGAAAGTTTACGGGAAAGTGAAGAGAACGGTGCTGAACATATTAACTGAAAAATCTAAATTATATAACAAAAATATTAAAACATCTCTCTATGAGCTGTTAAATTCTTGCTGTAGCTTTATAGCCGGGTTCTGTATGTTTTTTAATATAAAATATTTCCAGGTATTTAAATACGTAAGTTAATTGCATTTACAGGTTCAAGTCCGGCCGCCTTCCCAATTACAGACCCATCCACCGACAGATGTCTTCGTCTCGCTCACCAGTATCTCGGTTGCCGACTTGCTGGCGATCGTGGAATTCCTTCCGTAAAGCATGCTTTTTCACCACCTTCATCTGCATGACTGCCGTCATCTTCAGCATCATCGTCTCCGTCTTCACCCCGACAAAGATGCCTATCTCGCATCTTGATGCAGACGACCAACTCTGGTTCAATGACGCCACATTCTATGAGATTTTTCCAGCTTCTTTCCAAGACACGGACTCAGACGGTTATGGAGACTTTCAGGTACAATCATTAAATACTATTATTAGAAGCCATGTTATAGATTTACACTCTTTGTTCAAAACTTTCTGAGCATGTGTTAAAAGATGAAGGTTTTAATGATTCAGGTGGTTCTACATAGTCCTCCCAGTAGATTATAACGCACAGAACTTTCATCCCGCCATATGAAACTATCATAAAAGTCCTTGTTTGGGATGTTATTCAATATGTATTGCTGTAGCTTGAATGTCGGTTACGTCTTGATAGCGTTGACCCTTCATGTGAAATTTGATTTTTCGGGAATAAAAGAAAGTCACTTGACGCCAGACCAGGCGAATATGGAAGACGGTTAAAAAATTGGCATATGTTTTCCGCTAGATGTTGCACCGCAACTCGAGACGTGTAAGGAGCGCATTTTCTTACAGCAAGAAATCTCTGTATCTTTATCGTTCCGGACGAACCCACTAAATCCTCTTGCCAACTGATCCAGAATTTTGTAGTTCTAGTTGCCGCTGTTTACCTTAATGCGAGGAATTTACATGCAGATTCTTAATTATTTATAACAGAGATGGGCCGCTTAGACGGTATAGTGGATAGGGGAGCCTGACTGCGTAACCGAAGGGTCCGGATTCGAATCGCGGAAAAGGCATGGATGTAAAATTATCTGTCCCTTCATAGGAGGTAACGGTGATCGCCTTATTAGTTACCTCCATAATAAAATGGTCACAATATTCGGCCTTATGAGTGGCCAATGCCATTATAGGCAAGTACCCGCCATTGGAAAACAAAAATAATAGAGATGGTGGAATAGTTGATGTTCTAATTGATCTCAGAACTTTAATGTCCGTAATGAATAAAAATGTTTTCAGTATAATATCATCTATATTGCAAAGCATTAAAATAAAAATTTTAAAATATCCTTAGTCTTAAGTTCCTTCATGAGAATATACGTACTGTTGCGTGCGTACGGGTTCATAATAAATTGAATGCCGAAGTCCGATGAAAAGTGAATAGAATTTATTCTTATCCCAAGAAATAAAACAAAATGCTGAGATTTTCTCAGAGATATTCGTACAATATCGCAATATCAGAGAGAGCTAATCCAATTTCACCGCGAATTTACTATAATCAATAACAGCACTAAGTAAACAAGTGAACTGAGATGTTTTAATCCGGCTTTTATAAGCTTTTTAATCACGCATGAGAACATTCTGGTGTTTTCCCGAATAGCAAAACAGTACGATTACGAGATACTTATTTATTAAATGCGCGTGCTCCTGTATTTTTTTCTTTATCGGCGTAGCTTTCTCTTACAACTCGTCGCGCGCAGCATTGCACGGGAAAATGAAACAATTTAATTACAATTCTACTGAACAAACTAAACACAAAAACCGTAACAATATTTAAATAAAAATATACGAGACAGATATTTTATAGATAGAGTGATAAGAGAAGTGTAAACCCGAAATGTTCTTCATAGGCTAAGAAGTTAAACAAAAAGGTTCCATCCTCTTACAATTAAAATTAGTCAAGCATCCCTGAATGAACTGTTTGGATGATTGTTACGAGCATTCACGTATGCTTAAATTTCAAATAGAAATTTCTCAAAGATACATTTCACATTACTTTAAAAAAAGTTTGGATTTCAAGTCTCTATTTGCAGAAATGTTGAAATTTAAAGTTCTGAATTTTATGAAATTAAACTTTTATTACGATTCTAAAATTTCCTTGTTTTAACATTGAGTGAAGGTGATTTATAGTTCTGAATGTTTTGGTTTAGAAGCCATTTTTGCATGTTACGCATTAGTTTGTGTCCTTGATAAAGCTTCAAAACTGTTCTCGATCTGCTCCAATTTGAGAAAAGGCTTGCGTTCGTGGGAGATAATGACCGTTAATTGTTAAAGTTAGGTACTGATCATTATGAAAAATGAAGCCGTGTAAAAGAATCATTGTTTTAATTAGCACGAACTCATTCAGTCTTTTAAATCTTCAAAAATTCCAAAGAAATTCCAACCCTGAAAACTCCAACGTACTTAGGTCTTTGAAATGTTCTTTTTATACAGATCATTTTTAGAAAGTGTCTGTGTTGTAATTGGAATCTTCCTCGTAGTGGCCCTGCGTAAAAACAGATTTCCTGTGCTTTATCTAGCGGTGTCTTGTGATTAGATTTATACATGTTTGTATCATTTCTTGAGCTAGAGTCACGTGTCTAAGCCTGAACATTCAAGGAATAGTCGTTGGGGGTACACGTAATCTTCTTAATATTCAATAAATGTACTTTTTTTATTCCTACAGGGTATCATTCGTCGACTCGATTACATCCATGATCTAGGGGTCACAGCGATCCGGCTCAATTCCGTCTTCAGCGCTTTGGACTATCCTCTCGAGTTCGAGCATATTATCGACTTGAGGAGCGCCGATCCTCATTTAGGCAGAATGGATGATTTCCGGCAGCTTGTCCTCGAAGCTCATCGCAAGGGAATAAGGGTTGTACTGGACCTGAATCCTACCATAACTAGCGACCAACATACATGGGCTCTGCATTGGCAGAGAGGAATTCCCGGCTATGAGCACTTTTATGCATCCGCCAATAGATCTAAGGTATGTGAATTCATCTTTATTTCATAAATGCTAATTTCAATTAAGTTCAAACATGTTTTTTTGTGATTTAATTTCTTTCTATTTGAGTTGTCAAAGAATTTGAACTGTATGTGGTTAAAATATTGAAATCACAGTTGATCAGGAAAATATTTTCTTGCTATCATTTAGAAAGAATCTGATGAGGACACCACATGACTTCCTTGTACGGCCTGTTAAATTATACACTTTTTTTTTTTTTTTTTTTTTTTTTTGGCTGCACATTATTTAATCTTATTTCCTCGAATTTCATTAGAGATATACTTCTCATCCAATTAATTCCTTTCTCATTCCGATACATAAAAATAATACATAATACTCAATACATAAAAACTCAAAACATTTTCTTTAAAAAGTGTAAAATAATATAAAAATACTAAAATATCGAATACATTTAAACCGATTTTAAAAAAAAATTTGCCCTTAAAATTACAATTTGTACTCAAAAACAAAAAATTTGGCCAACAGGCGGAACGTTTCGATACACCAAAAATTCAAGTTTTGGAATTAATGGTCAGAGTGAAACTGAGGTTGATGCACCAAATGACTTAATTCTGTATACTACTAAGAGTTTCAAATGTAAACAAATTTGCGCCATGTTAGGCTTTGCTGCACTTACACTTTTATATTTTTGATTGCATAAGGATTAACTAAAAGTTGTAAAAGGAACATAAGAACAATATAATTCAATCAGTTTTAAAGAAAAATAAACAACTTATCAAAATATAAGGATAAACAGAGAGACTTCACCGAACGGGTAAGGAGCGTGGATATATAGATATGTAAAATGTAAAAAAATACGATAGTTGCTTTAATAATTGGCTACCTCAAAATTGACGATTCTAGATTTTTTGTTCTCCCCGTAAATTCATCTGTTCTCCCGGATTCGATATCTTTCTACGTTACGTAACGTTTTAATGCAGATACCACTTGTCCAATCAAAACAATTGTAAACGAAACTCTCCAAACGAAAACTCTCCTAACTCGAACATAAACTATCGACTCCCTCCTTTTTTCCTTTGAACTGCTGCGTTCTCTTTCGCTTAGGCTTCTCTGCTGGCAAGACGCTGTTGTTTATTTGCCTAAGATGACGTCATACTTTAGAATGGAACTTATTGTATTGAACTATAATTAAGAAATATCTTGTCTGCAAAAGAATGGTTTGATATATTTACAAAATAATGATTGTGATTTTTCAAGTTCTGTTGCGCTGGATGCGTCATCACGCTTTCCACTCAGTCCTGTTTTTAGCCGCTACTATCTTCTCAGCCATGACGCAATATTGAAAGCTGTTAAAAGTTCCAGTGCCTTCATCATAGCATTTTAAAATAATGACATATACATATAGTATATATATGTGTGTGCATGTTTGGTACAGAGGTCTGCAAATAAAAAATGAAGGTATAAATTAGATATTATAGCAATCTCATAAACAAAATTTCAGCGCTCTACGGCTAACTGTTTTTTAGTTATGCGAGGTACATATATACATACGCATGTACATATATACGTCACTTAAAAATTGCTTCTGAGTGCATTTGAATTCCATTTTACCATCCGTTTTGGAAAAATTGTTTCTTTATTCTGTCCGTGCGTACAGATGTCACAAAGAAAATCATTCAAACCTGGTTCAACAGCGGTCAAATTGGATATTATCGTTGAAATATGAATACCCGAAATTTTCGCGATTTCAGGGCTTCCTTTACTTTGAACAAGGAAGTTATTAATTATAGCATCCAGATTTGAAATTTCAAGAACTTTCAATTTAAGCTTCTTAAAATTTGACTTCTCAATTTACCAGTGTCTCAAATCAATGTTAATTAATAATGTTTATATAATTAAAATATTCGTTTGAAGCCTTGCTATCGATGCTCTATAAGGAAACATCGTTAGTCATCGATCAGGGAAAATCATTTTCCCACTATAAAAATCTTTACCAAAATCAATGCGGGGAGTATTTTCAAAGTTTATCACGATATGTATGGAAAAATCGGCTGTATAAGTATGGCGTACATTATCGTATCGCTTATACTAGAAATTCGAAGGCCGTTAAAGCTTCTGTAGGATCGAAACCTCTATTTAACGTGTTATAAAGCTGTGTGTACGAAGTACGTTTAACCCATTCTTCAGTTTTCAGCTAGCATGAGATGAATATGCCCAGTTACGTAACGTGCAACTAATCCAATAGTCCCCAATAGGTACGACGTGGATGTCAGAAGTGTGCATGTACCAAAATTAATAGTGTGTTAAGCAGCGTAGTTCACTGTGTTTTCTAGATAATAGTTTGGAAGAACCTAACCTACCTTCTTTTAAGTATATTATAGATGTTCCCCAGAAAATACAGTAATGGCAAGTGCAACATATGTGCCATAGAATGGTCAAGGGTAATTCTAAAGAACAACGGTAAAATAAATATAAATGTTCAATATAAATAAAGTAACTTGTTGAAAAATTATGCGTTGATGATACTGTATTATAATACTTTATCGCAGAAAGCAGTTTACGAAACTGATGACAATTTAAAAAATTTCTAATGCGTATTGTTCTCACCTTCATATGGGCACTGTGTTAGTAGATTCAATTAATGTCCTTCTTGGGAATCGCGTACGATTATATGACTAGCCAGTTCTTCATTGGCAAGAAAGCGTTTTTCTTACAATTAATTTTGACAAATGAAATTTTCCGTTTGGATGGAAACCATTGCTTTGGATTTCTACGAGAAAGAAGACAATTGACTTAGTAGAACTGGAATAGGAAACGGAGGCAGCGGAAGCATTTACAATGGATATGATCCGCAACGCGCGCAAAGAATACCTCAATAGCCTTGAAACCGTGAGAGGTACTTAATGGGCCAATGTCAAGGTTCTTTAATATCAAGGTTCTTTAATATACTAAGGTTAGGCCAGGAACGGAAAAAGCGTGCCATTGGTTGCTGGTAGTGACGTCACCCGGGAGACAAGAAACATCGGCCGACGCGTCTGCTACATGATTTTGGTAATGGAAAAAATGTAAACTAAAGCAAAATGATCATTTTATATGTGGTAGATACACCGGAAATACCGGGTATATACTTTCCGATTAAGTATTTTGTTAAAGAAAATGTTTATTTATGCACAGAATTCGTACGAATGCTGAAAATAATTGTAAACATTAAATTCTTTTCGTAAAGGAAAGTATTAGAAAATTAAAAACGATATTTAAGTTAATTAAGGGAAATAAATATTGTAAAACAAGGTATTTTTCAATATTTTTGTCGTTGTATTGTTTGCACTTAAATAAATCTTGTTGAACAGAACACATGATGGCATAACTGCTAAGACCCATGGTAAAAACATAATCAAAAAGTATTATTCCTATTTATTTTCATTGCTCCATGCACTTTTTTTAATACCAATGAACTTTGACATTCCATCAAAAATACATGACCATCGTCATTTTCAGTTTAAATTACATGATCTCAAGCAAAAATATATATAAAAAGATTTGAAATCAACAAATTCATATTTAATTACCATAAAATTCCACAAATTTCTTAATATCACATCATTTATACTTTTAAATAGATACTTGTCACATTCTTATAAGTGAAAGTCACTTACTTATACTGATTCACTTCAGATTTCAGCATAAGTGCATATATTTTCAGTATTATCTAAAAGTACACTCTTATAATCCCTTACACTCCTAAGATTTCTATATAATATTTATCCTAGTTTCTATATAATATTTATCCGTGATTTATTTGCTATAGCAAATAATCTTCGATATTTCACGATCCTATTCTTCCCTTCCATACATTAAAAATGGAATAATTAAAATAAATTTCTTGCACATATAATGCACAATAATAATAATAATAAACTTACCTTACATCTTAATTTCAATTCCACCAGCTTGTATTCAAATTAAATATTTTTAACACTGGTAGTTCGGTCCGAATCCCGCGAACGGGCTGGCTGCATGTGTGTTTTCGTGGTTTTCCACATGCGTAACGTGTATACGAGCCAGTTTCCCTGAGAAAGTCCTCCACGAAGACATCACACCTATTACGCAGATAACCCTAGTGTACTTTGCCATAATTAAATACACCCACATCTTAATTTCAATTCAGCCTGTAACACAAATTAAATATTTTAATTACTAATGTATTTTTATCAGTTGTTTCTTAAAATACTTTTGTTATACTCGAAATATGTGTTCAATATTGAATTATTTTTCTTTCTCTTATGAATTAAAACCAAGTTTATATGGAATCAAAATTAAAACATATGCAACAGTTAAATAACACTGAAGAGAATATCTTACTTAATCTTTCGCTATTTGTATTCCCAGCATTAATACACAGATTTGTTTTCCTTCAGGTTCAAGCATGTGTAAGTTATATCAATTAAATTACATCACACATACCTGTATGCATTAGTTAAATAACACTGAAGGAAATATGTCACTCACTCATTCGATGTTTGCATCATAGTGTTTGTCCAGAAATCGTTCTTTCCTCACGGTGAAGCATGTATCAGTTTACTTAGTTCGCAATGCTGAACCCAGACGCTTGCTTCAATACATAGAATTACGTTTGGGATGTAAAGAAAGTAATCCAAAATATGTGAATGAAGTTGGATAAGCGAATTTATCAAGTAATCATTCAGGTACTCAGTATTGGTAAACATGACACTGAGTTTAAATATCTATACGATGTAAGTCTCATTCGCAAAGTGAACGATTATGATAAAAAATTATTTAAAATGAGAAATCTTTCAATTTTAAATGTAAAATAGCAGCAAAATGAAAATAAATGTAAAATTACATCAGTTTTCATTTTGTATGAAAACTACATAAATTCATTAAAAAAATAGTTATTTTTATCTGGTTGTAAAGAGTGTTTTCCGCCATATAACGTATTAACGTGTATAATTTTGACACAACGCTATAGCACAATTTGCCACTTCCGCCTAGGTATAATA